ACATTGCTTGGAACATGCACTTGACCCTAATGGTGAAGGGGTTCAGAAACCCAAGTGGGTCATAAATTCGTGCTGAGGACTGCAGCACGCTTCGTTTGGTTCCTTTCTTTTCTGTTAGAAGCCTCACTAGTGAACTAAGGTCAAAGGTGAAATCATCAGGCTCAGGCCTCCACACTAATCCAAGCACCTTTAATGCTACTCCAATTGTCTCAGGTGCCATCATGTAGTTTGTGGAGCTCTTCTCCCCTTTCTGCCTCAGTTCGGCTGAGTTTGTCATCCATTTGCAAAGCTCCATACCAGCAGCCGCCAGTATTTCTTTGGCATTCGTCGTTATGTGATACGCCTCTTCCACTGAGCGTGTACTTGAAATGAAGTCATCTACGTAAAGTGACTCCCTTATTGTATTCACCACTTGTGGTTGGCTTGTTTCATATTGTTTTAGATGTCTTTGAATTGTCGCTGCAAGCAGAAACGGGCTTGGCGTAACTCCAAACACCACTCTCGTCATCCTCAGAATGCGCAGGTGCTCATTCACTTCTCCTTTCGGTGCACCTGAGAACCACAGGAACCTGATTGCATCTCTGTCCCTTTCTGCAAGACGTATTTGCAGGAATGCTTGTTTTATGTCTGCCAGAAAGGCGACTTCGTGTTCCCTAAATCTAAGGAGAACACTGAGCAGATCTGGATTCAAATTTGGCCCCGTAAATAAGCAGTCATTCAGCGACAGACAGCCTTCTTCATGGGACGATGCATCAAAGACCACTCTTAATTTTGTAGTTGCTTTGTCCTCTCTCAGCACTGCATGGTGAGGCATATAATACATTACAGAGTCTGTGCTGCGGTCTGGTGTCACTTCCTCTGCAATGTTCCTGTCCAAGTAGTCCTCCACCACTTGATTATACCTGCTGAAGAGTGTGACATTCTTCTTAAATCTTTTACTCAGACCTTCCAGCCATTTTTTGTCAACTCTGTAGTTGTCTGAGAGCTCTACCTTTTCTGGCTTCTATGGCAACTCCACCTGATATCGTCGATCTTTAAACATAGTCGTTCTCTCAAACATCTGCAGAGCCTCATCATCTTCTGGGTTCTTTGTTGTCTCATTTGTAATAC